TGTCTAAATTCAAATGGAAAAGTGTTTATCTCTAGACATGTGACTTTTAATGAGGATATTTTTCCCTTTACCACAGGTTTTCTTCATGCTTGACATTCTCATACTCAACAACACAATGATAATATGGCATCCTTTCTACTTTGCATTAGCCCAGTTCCAAATTTAATTAATCATGGACCTCTTTCACTTGGCCCAACTAGTACCAATGCAAACTCTATAGACTCAAACAACAGATCTAATCCTAGACCTGCTCCTTCAAATCCTATTTCACACACTCTTAACAGTTCTCTCTTGGGTCCTAATTCATCCTCTCCCAATCATCAGCTTAGCACTAACTCCACATCATGGCAAGTATAGGGTCACCCAATGGTAACACGATCCAAGAAAGGTGTTTTCAAGCCTAAACATCCTTCTATGGGTGTTGTTGTTAGTCATAGTATTAATGAAGTTGAACCATCAACTGTTAAGGAAGCTCTACGATCATCCCAATGGACTTAAGCCATGCAAATTGAGTTTGATACTGTTGTGCAAAATTGTACTTGGGATCTCGTTCCATTACCACCTCACACTAAGGTTGTTGATTGTCTCTGGGTCTTCAAACTTAAGTACAAGGCTGACAAAAGTATTGATCGGCCTAAGGTAAGGCTAGTTGCCAAAGGCTACTAACAAGATGCTAGTGTAAACTTTGAAGCCACGTTCAGTCCTGTTGCTAAAATAACTACTATTTGAGTTATTCTCACCATTGTGGTCTTTTTCTGGCCTATCAAACAATTAGATATCAATAACACCTTCTTAAATGGTTTTATTACTAAAGATGTATACATGCAACAACCTAAAGGTTTTATAGACTCTACTCGCCCCTCTCATGTCTGCAAATTAAAAAAGGCTCTCTACGACCTTTGTTAAGCACCATGAGCTTGGTTTGAGTGACTTCAAGATGTTCTTCTCACTTGGGGTTTTAATCACACAAGAAGTGATAATTCATTATTCATTAGACGAGATAAATGAGGCATCATCATGCTTTTTGTATATGTCGACGACATTCTAATAACTGGAAATGACAACAAACTTTTATCTGAGTTCACTCAAAAGCTAAATGATGTTTTCTCTCTCAAAGATCTCGGTGACCTACACTATTTTTTAGGTTTTGAAGTTCATTGTGATACAACTGTAGTCTGTCTTAGCCAAGCCAAGTATATTATTGATCTGCTACAAAGGTTCAACATGCTTTACACTGCTCTAGTTGCTACACCTATGGCAGTAAGCAAATTACTCTCAGCTGACGATGGTTATGTTTTGAACTAGCTTGCTAAGTTTTGATGGGCCATTGGTGCTCTTTAATACTTGACCAATACTCATCTAGATATTGCATTCTCTATTAACTACCTAAATCAATTTCTTTCTAATCCTACCATAGCTTATTGGCAAGGAGTTAAATGTATCTTTTGGTACCTAAAAGGAACTGCCACCAGTGGCCTTAAAATTTGTCCTTCGAAGTCTCTTGAGATATTTTCTTTCTCTAACACAAGCCGGGCTTTATGTCCCATGGATCGTAGATTTGTCTCTGGCTATCTGGTTTATGTTGGAGAAACCTTAGTGTCTTGGTCCTCCAAGAAACAAAATGTAGTAGCATGATCGAGCATGGAGTCAGAGTATCGAGCAATGGCGAATACCACAGCATAAGTTAACTAGTTAATGTCATTATTTTTAGAACTTCGTCTCTCAATCTCCCGAGCTCTTGTTGTCTGGGTTGATAATTTGAGTACAACTGCTCTTGTTAAAAACCCTGTATATCATTCACGCGCCAAACCCATCAAGATAGACACCCATGTTATGAGAGATCAAGCACTTGCTCGAAAACTTCAAGTTCACTATGTTCCATCAGTTGAACAATGAGCAATCTTCTTACAAAGCCTCTAGGAGCTCCAGTGTTCAAGTACTTGTGTAACAAACTCAAATTGGAAATACCACCCTCTCATTTGTGGGGGAATGTTAAAGAAGCCCATTAACACAAGCCTATGATTGCATGGCTCCTCAAGATGCAGCCGTTCCGAGTTATCTGTGTGTATATATTTCATGTATCATATATTAGTTGTTGTATCAGTTAGTTGCAATTTTTTTAGCTTAGATACCATCTCTCATATAGCTATATATGTAACCTTATTTTCATCTTAATGAAGTAAGCTCACTTTCTAATTTCTTCAAACTTTTCTATTACCAAATGGTGACAGAGGTATATATGATCAACCATGGAGAGAGTGAATTGAATTTAGGGTTAGATTTGGTGGGACGGCAAGCGCCCTAAAGCTGTGCTGACGCTGAATGGCAAAGTCAAGTAAGGGCTTCGATTGTGTTCGGGTCAGCTCGAATTTTCAAGGAGTGTGAGCTAATGAGCGGGGTGTTCGGGATGTTGAAATCAAAAAAATTGCTTCCGCCTCCCATGTGTGCTCCTTCTTCTTTCTCCTTTCCCTTTGCGACTCATCACCCTGATGAGCACCGTGGTGCTCATCAGGGTGATGCAATCTGGACCTGGATGGTCCAGATTTAAAAAAAATTTAATATTTTTATTTTATAATTTATAAATAAAAATTTATAAAAATTATAACAAAGTCCTAATAAATATTTTTATGATTAATCTAATCTATATTTAATTTAGAGTGTCTAATTTAATATTTAAATTTTTACATTTTTATATATTGATTATTCAAATATATTTTGTATAGTTTAAATTTAAAATTTTTAACTTGTAATATTTTTAAAAAATATTTTTTAAAAGTTATAATTAAAATATTATACATTTTATTTTTTAATATTATATTCATTAAAATAAAAAATAAAAACTCTAAATTTAAACTTTGCAGATAAATATTTGATATTGAATATGGACTGTCTAAAATATATGTAGATAGTCAATTTAAAAAGTTATAATATTAAATTAGACCACCTAAATTAAATCAATACTATTTAGATTAATAATAAATTTATTTATAAAAAATTATAAATTTTTATTTTAATAAATATAAATTTAAATTTAAATTAAAAAATCTGGGCCATCCACATTTAATCTGAATGGTCCAGATTTATTTTTATGGATGAGCACCTTGGTGCTCACCGAAGACGGACCCGTTTTCGCAGACTTGGGAGAAAACACACCACCCCTTCTTTTGATTATGAATATTTAGATAAGAAGAAGAAGCTCAAAGATTTTGGTTGAATTAGGATGGACATGGGAATGATCGAATTAGTCAATCTTGACACCTGGCAAGCAGATACAGCATCCATGGCAAAAATTAACGGAACTTACTAACATTTAAGAATACCCTTGTACCAATTTAAATAATATTATGAATTTTTATCCTTCTTTTTTATTTTATATTAGTGGATGCTTTTGACCTTTATGAGTATTTTTACTTTTTTTCTTTTTTTTATAAAATTGATGAATATTCATATATCATTATTAATTTAATTTAATAATATAAGAAAATTAAAGAAAAAATTTATGAATACTTTTGTATCTTAATCCTAAGTTTTTTATTGATGCAGGGGAATGTAGCATTTGAGAGTTGAGACACAATAACGTTATAATTGTTACAATTATTTATATCACACACTATTATAACTTTGGGTTAGCGAGGAATTTCAACGTGACTATACTTATTGTTTTACAAAATAAATTAGTGAGGAATTTGATGAGAAAGAGTAATTTTATCTCTAAAATTATAATTAGCGAGAGCTTTTCGTTAGCAAGTGGGTTTAGAGGAATTTCATTGCCTCTAAAAAAGTGTGGTGATAAACGTTGAACCTCTTGTTTTCTCCAAGGATAATGATATTTGACAAGAATACTCTAACAATTTTATTTAATGAAAAGTGGATTGGTTATTTCAGAGTAATGGTTCAAAGGTTAATGATTAAAATTATAATTAAATTATGATTAAATCAATAATAAATGAAATATTTTATTAAACTAGTTAAAAAATTAGCTTAATAATTTTTTGATTCAACTACATAAGTTGATTTGAATTTCAAGAATCCATATTAAGTATTTTATAAATATATCAACTTGCATGGCATTTTTTATATATAAATTTTAGGGAAAAATTCAGGTGGGGATCTTTAACCAAATATATTCAAAAAGAGAATCCCAAAATTTTTAAAATTTTACTGCAGAAGCCCATGCAGAATTGAAAATAAATTTGTAATATAAATGACACAACTGCCCCCATTTAAATGGATAACATAATGTAGATGAAAAGACTTGTTCATTCCCCTATTATATGCTGTTCATTTAATTATAAAATGTTGTTAATTACTTAATGTCACTTGTTTATAGCTCTAATTTCACTTAATTTCATTTTAAGTGTTGGTTTTATGATAAGAAAATTTGTTCGTTTTCACATTGTATGTTGTTCATTCCAAGGGTCATAAACAAGTGAAATAGAAAAACGAACAACATTTCATAAGTAAATGAACAACATACAGTATGGAAAATGAACAAGTCAACAGCAATTTTGTCATTTTTGTCACAAATTTAATTTCAACTCAGTATTAGACCCTGCAGTAAAATTTCAAAAATTCAAATGTTCTTTTTTTCATTATAGTTGGTCATGGATCCCTCACTGAAATTTTCCTAAATTTTATATTATTAAATTTATATTCTTCCACTTTTTTCTTTTCAAATATTGCTTTTAATAATGGGAGAATGATAGTTAGGTCCCAAAATAGTAAATTAATGCAAATTGAGTCCCCCATAATTTTTTTTTAACAAAATGAATCATAAATGTTAATTTAAATAGTTATAAATAGAAATTTATGTTACAATCTAAAAATTACATATGATATTTAAATACTTATTTGTAATTGAAATTCTTAAATTTGTATAATTTAAATTGATATTTTTAATTTACTTTTTAAAAAAATTTATTGTGATTTAACTGATATTAATTCAATGTTTTAAAATCTGACTGTCATTTTCCTTTTAATAATCCTTCCAAAAAATTTCTGAGCCCGCGTTTTGCCCCAGGCTTTTCTCTCTTCAAACTCTTCCTCCGTTCCCATTCGGCAAAACCTCCATTCCTTCATCCTTGTGCGCTTGTAACCTTGCCACCTTAGATGCAGCTGTCTCCGTCTTCCCCGCGCTTCACCTTCACCTGTTTTCTTTCCCGGTCTCGTGGTCGTCGTGTTCCCTGCTGGTTCAGAATTTTCAGGTACATGTCGTCAAATATTTGAGCTTATACCCGCGGATTTTGTTTACAAGTAATCTTGTTGAGGTTTAGTTGCTAGAATCAAGGAGCTTTTGGATTTTTATATATTGCTTAGAAATGTTTCAATAACAGCGTGGTTTGGAGTTGAATCGGAACTTGGTGTTTCGATTACTTGTTCATCGATAGCTGTCAATTTAAATATCTTATGCTCATAACGTGACTTTGTAGAGAAGACAAAGAGGCTAGATGTATGATTTAATTAGTTATGTATTATTATTAATTGCACTGAGATTGAGACTCTACCTTTGTTACCAGCTGCTATATCTTGACCATTTATTTATTCTTCAAAATTGGGACAAGTGATGTGATCTCAGCCATCTTTTCTCTCTCTCTTAATTCCTTCTTCTCTTGTTTGATCTTATGGCTACACTAAAAGATTGACTCATAAGAAGTTGATGTCGCAACCCTTGTGACTTTGGGTATGTTTGAGAGTATATGATGAAATGAAAAAGAACGGTTATTGATGGAATAGAATGTGGTGAAGTGGGACGGAGTAGACTTTGGGAGTTTCATTAAAAGAATAAATGATTTTATTTAATTATTATTTAAGAATAATTATTAATAGATTTGAATAAAATATAATTATATTTTTAAATTTTAAGGTAAGGGGGAGTGAAAGAGTGGGAAGGAGTGAGAAACATAAGGGTAATTTTGTAAAAATATTATTTATATTATATCATTCCATGGGGAGTTAAGAAAAATTGGTTTAGGATGGCTTGAAAGACCACCCCAAGCCATTCCATCCTCTTTTAATTTTTTTTTTCAAAGAATGACATAAGGTTTCTAATCATCCTATTCCATTTCATTCCATTTAAAAAGAAACTCCCAAACATTATCTAAAAGACTAAGAAATTATTCATGGCAAAGAGTATTGGTCGTGTTTAGAGTTTATTTAGCTTTATGTCTTTTTCCCCCCCTCTTAGTTTAGGAGAAAAAGAAATAAAAATAAAAACAAATGCACATTTGTTGAAACAAATCCTACACTTATTCCTTCCCACAATAGGTTTGTCAGATTATTGAATTTGTTAATTAATGCATGTCTCTACTTGTTAAATGCATATCAATATTTGTTAATTAATGAACACATGCTTGTTTAAATAAGTAAATGATTTGAAAACTAAAATATTAAATTAACAATATATATTAAATTTTGTACTACATAATTAGAGTTCAAACCTCCCTTGAACCCAAGACCCTTTAAACACCTACATGATTTAATTGGTCACTGAATCTAACAACCAACCGCTGATGACAATGGGGCTTTGACAGCTAACAATCCAATGGCCGGCACTGATAATAGAGGAGAAAGTAGATTTTTTTTTTTTGAAAAAAAAGAAGGGATATTATAATCTTTTTCTCTTGAATCTCATTTTTAGAACAGGCTTCAAGGGACCACATGGAAATTTCAGCTATCAATGAACAACTTGGGGTAGAGTACAAGAGAATAAAGTAACAAAAGCCGTTTTATTTCTTCTTCCATGAAACAAATAAGTTTCGAAATCAGAAGCCCCAAATCCCTCACTGGCATAACGGAAAAGGAAAGATCGGGTTTGAAATAGAGAAATTCTTGCTGTTTTATAAATAAAAAATTAACAAAATAATAAAATAGAATTTCAATTATCTAAATATGCATGTGCTTTGCCCAATTCAAATCAAGGGGAGTCCTACTCTGTGCTCCATGTGCGTTCACATGTGACGTTGACTCAGTTGTACCATTGAGAAAAGGAAACGCGGGAAGCTCGGGACTGAAAAAATTAAAATAACTATATATAATGACAAAAGCTTAGCTCTAACATCTTAGCACCACCGTCAACTCTCCTACTTCACAGTCCATTAAGTTGCTGAATATTTGATTCCCTTTTACCAATTTGCTGCTTCAACTTCTCCGATGAAGTATCATGTTTTCTTAAGTTTAAGAGGAACCAACACTCGCACCTTCACTGATCATTTGTACTCTCCCTTGCTTCGACAAGGAATTGTAACTTTCAATTTCAGGGATCTTGAGAGAGGAGAAGTTATTTCCGAGAAGCTATTGATCAATCTATGTTTGCCATTGTTGTGCTCTCAGAGAATTATGCTTCTTCATCGTGTTTGGATGAATTGCAGAAGATCGTAGAATCCAAACATGACTCGAATCCAACAATTTTTCCAGTTTTTTACGGCACAGATCCATCTGATGAATGTGGTACAATTCGTAGGTTTGATTCTCGGAAGGTCTCAAGGGAGATAACCCATATACCACCATGAAGAAAAGGCGGTCATTGCAATGATGACACCTGCTGATCTAGTGCCAAGGAGGTCCAGAGTGGTGCCCTAGTATTGATACACACAAAATTCTTTTTTTTTTCAATGATATGCAATGCTTTCAAAATAAATGAATGCAAACTATATATTTATTTGCAAACAGTTAAGCATTTAATTAAATAGAATAAATTATTTCATTATCTTAATTCTTTTGTTACAAAGAGAGTTACCATGGTCTAGCGTTTCCTCCATATGGTCCACACATGCAACAACACTAGAGCAATACTTAATCTATACGGTTAAATGATAATTGTCAATTATCAATCTAATTAAATACCAAACTCACTAAATTTTAGATACCTATTAAAACCTAAAATCTCATTTTATCAGCATCAACCCTTTCAACATACTTCATTAATCACATTTAACACCCAAACATACTAATATCATCAATTATTTACTCACATTATTCCAAAACTCTCAATTTTCAATTAGGGTTAGTCTAAACCGTAACCACATACTCCAAATCACTACACAATTTATAAACTTAGGTTTAGAAACTTGATTTAACTCTTGAAAATCTTAACTAAATTAATGGGTTCGATCAAAACCCAAAGAGAGATGAAATCAAGCTCTAATCATTTCAAAAACCATCAAAGTTCACATGAAAGAGATTGGGAGATGTAAAGGAAGTTTACCCAACAATACTCAGGCTCCAAATGCTTTTAAAATGACGTTGGGGATTAGCCCTAGCAGCCTTCAATGTCTCCTCTGTCGCCTCTCTCTCGTTTCTCTTTTCTACTTTTAAAACAAACGTGATTTTATGTCTAATTTGACCCAAATTTTGGCCATGCATCGTGGTGCAATATGTGTGCACTGCAGCACATGGTGTAGCAAGTGCCACATGCCATTTTGGCCATCTTCTCAAGTCTGGTTGACCCGTACATTATTTTAGTTCATTTCCAAAACTGTTCAGAGGTCAAATAACTTTATTAATGTCTGAAAACACCATTAATTTATAAATTACATATTTGATTAATTTACTCTTCTTAAACACTCAAAGTTTCTAGTTTAAAACTTAGGATGTTACAAAATACCCATGAACCCTAAAGTTGCCTCCAATTCTTTATAATGTGTAATTTCATTGTAAATCTAAACTATTCAAATAATATTTTGACATTATAAATTAATTTATATTTCTTAAAAAATTATGATGTAAAAATAAAATATCAAATATTAAATTAAAAATTTTATTAATGTAAATAATATTTTATATTAAACAAATAAAACTGGAGCAGATACGGGGGGGAAATGCGGCATGTCAGCCTCTAAAGAAAAATGCGGTCAAATCGGTTTGATCTTCCCATTTCAGCGGTCCCATGGAATGGCCTTCTACATGGACCTCGTTGTTACATAAATGCTCCTATCTCTCTCTCACATCAAGGAACTCCAAGCTCATCTTATCACCACCGGCCAATTCCAATCCCACTCTTCTCGCACCAAGCTCTTTCAGCTTTGCGCCGTTTCACCCCTCGGTGACCTTTCTTTCACCTGCAAAATTTTCCAGCAAATCCGAACACCTTCCATGCCATTGTTCGAGGCTTAGCGCAGAGCTCCCACCCCACACAAGCTATCCCATGGTACCTAACCATGTTGCCGAGGTCCCAAATGGTGGATGCTCTAACTTGCTCATTTGTACTGAAGGCATGCGCGCGTGCTTTGGCTGTCTTTGAAGCCTCACAGATGCATTCTCAGATTGTGTGTTTAGGGATCGAAGCTGATGTTTTGTTGCAGACCACCTTGTTAGGTGTGTACGCTAAATCGTGTGATCTCATTTGTGCACAAAAGGTGTTTGATGAAATGGGTTTGCGTGATATAGCTTCGTGGAATGCATTGATTTCTGGGTTGGCATAGGGTAATCGGCCCAACGAAGCTATGGCTTTTTTTAACAGAATGAAGGAGGAGGGTTGAAAGCCAAATGAGGTCACTGTTCTCGGTGCACTCTCTGCTGGTTCACAATTGGGTGCTTTAAACAGGGTGAAAATATTCACGGGTACGTAGTGGATGAGAAGCTAGACATGAATGTAATTGTTTGTAATGCAGTTATTGATTGGTACGCAAAATGTGGGTTTGTAGATAAAACCATATTCGGTCTTCAATAACATGAGTTGTGGGAAAAATATTATTACATAGAATACAATGCTTGTGGCATTAGCAATTAACAATGATGGACACAAGGCATTGGATCTTTTGGGTCAAATGGCTCTAGATGGAGTGAAGCCAGATGCGGTATCCTATCTTTTTGCATCGTGTCCGTTCAACCATGCTGGTTTGGTGGAAGAGGGTGTTAACTTGTTTAATTCAATGATGAAGTTTGGGGTTAAACCCAATGTTAAACATTATGGTAGAGTTGATTTGTTGGGTCGAGCAGGAAGGCTCAAAGAAGCTTGTGATATTGTAAACTCTATGACTTTGTTCCCTGATGAAGTCCTATGGCAAACTTTGCTTGGGGCCAGCAAGACGTATAGGAACGTCCAAATGGGAGAGATGGCATCAAAGAAGCTGGTGGACATGGGATCTATCACTTGTGGAGATTTTGTGTTGCTAGCAAATATTTATGCAGCCAAAAGGAGAGGGATGATGTAGGGAAGGCAAGGGAAGAAATAAGGATGCAAGGAAGGTGCCAGGATCTGGTTACATGGAAGTAGACGGTGGGTTATACAAGTTTGTAAATGGTGATCAGAGTCATCCGAATTCCAGAGAGATCTATGCAAAGCTGGATGAGATTAAGTTCAGGATTAAGGCCTATGGATATACAGCTGAGACTGACCTTGTATTGCATGACATAGGGGAGGAGGACAAGGAGAATGCTTTGAATTATCACAGTGAGAAGTTGGCAGTGGCATTTGGGTTAATTAGTACAATCGATGGAACTCGAATTATCTTCAAATCATTTTCTGCATCCTCTCTTTTTCCAAAGAAATTTATTACATATATTCTGTAAATAGGTGGGTCGATTATGCTCGATGGATTGGAGTCCAGAAAATACGTGGTTGAACATGCTGGTTTTCCAACTAAGAAGTACAGTATGCGCCTCTGTTTCATGAGGCAGATTCAGCCAAATCATTGTATGTAATTGCTGAATTGAGCGGAGTTCCAACCAATTTGTTTCCAGCATGTTGTTGAATTGATTTTTGCTTTCTGGAGTAAACTGGCTTGACAAATAATTTATCAGAATAACGAAGATTGGTGAGTGCGTGAGTTTCTAGATACCACCGTCGCTGGTGGTCAATGACAACATTTTGATCCTCCATAAACTACCAGAAGTTGGTAGATGAAGTTGGGTCTCCATAAACAATAAATGAACCTCAAACGATGAACAACAAAAGTGTAGGAGCCTAAATTATAGGAAAAATGTATGGAGAGTAATAACAAAATGCAAGCAAAGTATAGAGATTTGAAATTATGTTTTTCCTTAAATTTATAATAAAAGAATAACAAATTAAATTGAGGATAGCATGGTCAAATAACATCGTACTTTTTAAATTTACTTTTCAATAGCTCCAAGTCTATATCAATGTTTTAAAAATTAAATTGAACAATAAATCAAAAAAACCAACATATTACAATTCTCATAATTTAACCTTTAGACTAGCAGTCAAACTAGTGACATATTAAATAAAAAATAAGATTTATGTGCACATGCCAACTCATAGACATATAAGAAATAAAAAATCAAAAATACTGAAAGTATTCTTTCCAATTCAAAATTGTTCAGCTATAACATATCAAGTTTCAATTCTATGGAGCAACAATTTATATAGTTGTTTTAAAGTTCTTAATAAATGTTTAAAGGATATATTTTAAAGTTAAGCAACCCATTAGTTTCCAATCTTCCCTTCAGAGGAAAATTTGCATTTGATCAAAATTTTAGACAGATCTTTCATGTTATTCCAAGTGATTTTAATGAAGATATTATTTTTGACACTGTTAACTCTTCGTATATTTGAGATAATTGTCATCTTTAACTAAAAATATGAGATTTTTGGAAACAAATGCAAAAGCATTTATCAATGCTCTTCAAAATTTTGCTAACTATATTAACTCAATTTTTTTTGTTACAGTAGAGGGCTACACCTAGAAACAGTAAAAATTAAACAACATTAGGGAATTTAAATCCCAAGCTTTCTTCCAGCACTAATTCCCTCACAAATTGGGGAATTTAATCAAACAGGAGAGAGTCATAGATCCCTTTTTTTGCCAGTACATCCACCACCATGTTTTGCACCCCGGGAGCAAAAGTCACCAAGACTTCCCAGTTGTATCTCAATAAGTTCTGAGCATTTAAAAAGGCCAGACTATTGCTGTAATGGTTCCCATGATGATCATTCATAAGCTCTACTAAGTTCTTCCAATCTGATGATGATAATATATATTTTATATATCAACTTAATTAATGATAAGACTTTTAGGGATGGCCATTGACGGACTCAAGCAATATCATTTGTGGAGTCGGGCCATTGAGCTCATGGGCTCAATGCAAGACCTGAGGTCTTTGGGCCCTTATAATTGTTTTTAAATTTTTTAAAATAAATATTTGAAAATAAAACAAATTAAACCATAAGTAATTAAATATTAACCAATTAATTATCAAATTAATGTTTAAATTTCCAAAGTAAATCCAAATAAGTCTTTTCTAAATATCAATAAAACAATAATATCTATCATAATGATCATTATCATTTTCATCACTATCATCTTCAAAATCAATAATATTTGATTGTGCTTCACTATGAGTTCACTCTTCTATGGAAAAAAAATATCAAAATTTTCTTTTTTATTTAGGCTAGAGTTATTTTTCATTTTTCTAGTATTTCTACTTTTTTTATATTCAAAACCTCTCTCTCCTCATTTATTAAATACTAATGAATTATATATATACATATATGGCGGACGCATGACCCTGAGTTAATGGGGGTATAAATTATATAAAATATAAAACTAATTAAAAAATAAAAATTTAGTATATAAAATATATATTTACATACCTTGCAAGTTTTCTCTCCGTCGCTTCATATTTGGAAACTGTTGAATGATCAATTCATTGTCAATGATATTAAACGTATCTTTTTCAATATAAGTCACTAGAAAATCATTCATCCATAGATATCACATTCAATTACACAACTAAT